ATTTGTTTTACTTGTATTTCATTTTTTGTAATTATTTGATGTTTCTTTATATAATACATAGCACCACACATGATTGGACTGTATTTTTTGCATTCACCAACACCTGACAACAACTATTCTCCCTGTTTGAGTTACCAAAGAAACTGAATTTGTTTTACTTGTATTTCATTTTTTGTAATTATTTGATGTTTCTTTATATAATACATAGCACCACACATGATTGGACTGTATTTTTTTTAAAAAATAAATAAATATGTAAAGAACTGTTTCTCTTTTGTTGTGGGGGGGGGGGTGACAAGCCACCAGAGTCATGTTAGGCATTTTTCAAATTTTTGACACGCCAAGCCCAAAAGGTTCGCCATCACTATCTAGAAGAACAGTCCATACCATTATTGACAAACCACTCTGCACATTAAATGTTTATTTTGTACCTACCTATAATTATATCATACTTAGAAACATTCTGTTGATGCTTATTCAGAATATATAAACTAGTGAAATGTTAATATAAGGATTACAATGAACTAACCATAGAGCATCACATGGTTCCTCTAATTCACCATGACAACCCAGATCTACCTTAAAACCATGACAAATAGAGCATCTATACAAACTGCAACATCCATGCAGCAACATGTGGTTTTAAATAAGGATGAACTATCACATCAAGTACACTATTTTTATTTCCAGACCTGGGAAACTAGGAAAATCTATATTTCCAAGAATATTTCTGGATTTCACATGGGAAAATAAAAGTAGTAGTAAATTCATTCCAGTACTTAATGTAAAAGGGGCCACCTGTTTAAAATAACAAAAGTTAAGTTGGGTGATAGTACCATGTGGAATTGGAAGGAATGGCAGTAAGCAATCTCATTCACCTTCTAATAAATTAGTGTTTGTGACCAGCCCATGGCTGCCATTTAAAGTAATATAGGTAGACCTTACTTAACGACTGCCCTATTTAGCGACCATTCAAAGTTACAATGGTGCTGAAAAAATAATTTTATGACCAGTCCTCGCATTTACAACTATCACAGCATCCCCGTGGTCACATGATCAAAATTTGGTGTTTCACAGCTGCTGAGCATTTGCAACTGTTGCAGCATCCCACAGTCATGTGATTGCCATTTGTGTGCTTCACAGCTGGCTTCCAACAATCAATGGAGAAGCTGGCAGTAAACACAAATCATGGTCATGTGATGTCTCGCTTAACAACCACAGGTGATTCACTTAACAACCACAGTGGAAGTGAGGCAGTAAGTCAGTCGTGGTCATGTGATGTTTCACTTAATATGTCACTTAGCAATGAAGTTGCCAGTCCCAATTGTGGTCATTAAGCAAGGACTACCTGTATTCTCCAAAATTCCAAATGTTCCCCATCACACTGAAAGCTGAATTCCCCTTTCTTACCATTATTCAACACATAAGACTAGATGCTAGTATGCTTAAAACAGGTATCACTACTCACTATATCAGAAAACAATTCTCTCCAATGTGATAATTCATAAGTATCTACAGTGGATCCAGATATTAAAGGAAATTATTTTTACAACTTAGAACAATTACCACAATTTCCAGAAGCTATTTTCCAGAGCCATTTAATGAAAGAAAGAAAAGGAACATGTAATGGTTGAACCAACATTCACAGAGCAATGTGCATTATTCCACTCTACATTATTTAATGAACTGATCTATCTTTGTCCACAATAACGTGAGTATGTAACTGATAGCAGTGTAAAAAGGGTTCTGGCAAGAAGATAGGTCTGAAAAGAGAAAGTACCCCAGTTTCCCACTGAAATCTCTTACCTCCTTTTTTTCTGGATGTACATCATCTGCAATAAGAAAGGGGAAGGAGAAAATAACTATAAGGGAAGTGTGGATATGTTCTACACATTATTTCTTCTAACTGGGAATAAAGCATAAAACAAGAAAGAAAAAGAGCAACAACACAAGGAATGTGAACATCAGGAACAACTTTTGCTTCATCAGTCTACCTTCAAGGTACAATTCTAACAAGAGGCATGCCACACATAATACTAACATATGTGAAGCACTCAACTCATTAGAGATGTGACCTTCAATGTCAAATGACAGGAATATTGAAAAAAGTAGCTTTATGTAGGTAAAATCTCACCGATGTCTCCTGAGACCAACCTGGTGTCCTCCAGGAATGTTGGATTACAACTGCTTCACTTCCCTCAGCTAGCATAGCTTTTGATCATACTGGCCAGGATGATGAGAGCTATAGGATACCAGGTTGGGGATGACTGTATCTTTTCAGTGGAACAGACTAAAGCGAAGTCTATTTTGGTATCTCTTTTATGAAAGTTGACAGGCCCACTGAGAAGCTGCTATCAATTTCTGAGCACTCTGAGGCAGTTAAGAGTTGCAAGAGTCTGATTTAATGCAATAAAATGTTTCTTTGTGCTGTGGCTTTCAGATGCATTGAACACAAAAGTCAAAAGCAGAACAGTCTTCATATAATCTATTTACACATATTTGACCAAGCTGTAAAATTCTTCAATTAATTGACATTTTAGGCATACAACTAAGCAAAACATTCACTTTTTCCAAACTTGATAATATAAGGTCCTCTTAGAATGTCCAGGAACTCTGGGCTAAGCATTACTGAAAGCTATTGGAATTGCAAGGAAGAAACATTTTGCTTGCCCTAAAGGGGAAAACACAGTGCTTATAGAAGTAAGGGAAGCCAGTTTATTTTTATTTATGTAATATATCACTGAGCAATGTTTCCAGACTTCAGTCTTCCCAAAACAAGTTTATCACCCCTCTGCACGCCTCCATCCAGCCAGGTGTTCCTCCTTTGACAAAAACAAAGCACAAGCAGCAACAAATCAACCAGCCGTAATCCCCTCCCAGGTGTCCTGTGATCTGGGATGTAGTCCCAACATATCTGGAGAGAACAAGATTAGGGAATATTTTGTTAACCTCTATAGGGCTCAGTCTGTGGGTGATCTGAAAACGCTATGGGTGAAAAGCAAAAACACTTGTGGATTTAAGTAAAGGGCAACAGCTTTTTTCCCCCAAAAATGCAGAGGTTGGCAACATAACAAGTAACACAGAACCCCCATCTTACTTTTAAAAAATAAGTTTAATTACGTATTTTTGTGGCTGAGATCACAGGGATCTCCTGAGATTCAGTGTTCACAAAATGGGCATTTTTAATTTAAAATGATGGCACTCACTATCTGAAAAGACTGCTGACTTTAAAATTAAGCCAGTGATTGTTACAACAGAAGACTGTTGACTAAGAATTGATATTGAGACTTTTATTTTTTCAAGGAAAATATTCTTGCATATCCCATTATTGACATAAAATCTAGAGCAGTGTTTCTGAACCTCACCAACTTTAAGATGTATAATCTTCAACTCCCAGAATTCCCCAGCCAACATGCTGGTCTAGAGACTTAGTTCTTCTGGTTTAATTGAGTCCACTCACCACTGCCATGACGACTCCAGCAATGGTGATCAGGAAAAACGGCACTAGAACATAACCCACCAGGGAGTCATTGGTTGGCCCAGCAGAGGTGGGCATGGTGGTATTACTCATGGCATAGAAAACTTGCTTGAGCAGATCGAAGAAGCAGCTCCTGTCATCATTGGGAAGTCCACCTCACAATGATAAAAACAGTTTAAGATTAAAACACATTCTTAAAGTTGCCATAAGCCACTTTTTTCCTCCTCCCCAACCCACTACCATGCAAACGATTCACATAAGACAGTCACAAGCATATCACATGCTATTCCTCATACTAGAGTCAATACTACACTGAATGAAATCCTTTAAAATATTTAGCCTTGAGACATGAACCACAGCTAAATGAAGCTGAGAAAAAGGGTTAATGGATAAGAAAAATAAACCATTCCAAGACAAAAGAGAGTGACAAGACAGAAGAGTAGAGCAATGGAAATAATGCTGGTATTTTGGTCTAGCTAGTACAGCTGACCCCTAAAATACTCCTGAAGAAGCCCTTTCATCCATTTCTCCTTCTAGATATTTCCCATAATGGGGAAAAGCAGAACTGTGCAACCCCCATCCCCCAGAACATTCTACCAGCAACAGCAAGTTCATGTCTCCATGCTATTAATACATTCACCTACCAATCCAAATAGGAAAGCTTGTTTTGGTCTAAAGGTAATAAGCCTGTAGCCCTCCAGATGTTGATGAATTATCTCTCAACAAACCTACCCTGAATGGCCAATGGAACAATGCTGGAGAACTGTAAGTCAGCAACATCTGGAAGACCACAGGCTTTCCACCACTTTAGACAAGCACAAAGTTAGAACCAAGCAAAGCAATCTGAGTTATTCAAATAGATACAATATGTTTTTCTGTATGGAGCTAGAGACTCCCAAACAACAAGAGCCACACCCCCACCACTTCCCTGGAGTCACAGTTGGTGCCACACTCGAAACCTGGTAGGGCACATTTCTGAGAGAGTAATATCCCCCTCCACACCCAACCTGGTTCCAGTAATGCACACCAGGTCAGCCCTCTCATCCATGGTCGAATCTTAAGGAATTTAAAACTGGATAAGGAAAGAAAGGATAGACTGGAAAGGCTGATTTCAAAAAGTGTGTTTTTACTGCATGCATGCTCATGAGTATATTATTATTGTTGTTGGTTGCACAGACAGATGTTTAGACTGGGTTTGGCATTTTTATCCACCTATCGAGTCCTTTCCAAGGATCTGGGATAGGCAGATGTTGTTTGATGGTGTTAGAGGTATAGCCACAGGATATAAGCTGTTCCACGTAAAGCTGCCTTTTGCAATTAACTAATGATGATTTTGTTGTTATTTTATCCCACCTGTTTATATATAACTCAAGGCAACAAACATAACTAATACTCCTGCCTCCTATTTTCTCCACAACATCCTTTTGCCCCATCCATGTCTTAGGCAAATCATTTACCAAGCATTTTCATCCATCCTAAATAGCTAGGATGTGTGAAATTTGTGATGTATTCTTCAAATATATTCATCAATAAATCTGAACTAACAATACTACTATAGCAAATTTTTCTTTCTCATCACATCCGGCTATTTTTACATTGGAAAAATTAATTAGAGAGGGGAAGTGATATCACTCATATACAATCTTTATATGATTTAATCAGGCTTATACAGTATACATGGACTTGCAGTAGGTGGCTTAAATGCTGTGTGTTCCATAAGTTAGTGACTATTTAGACGTAATGAAACATGTCACTCTAAGCATCTAAATAACTGGACAGCTTTTTATGCATCTTCCTTCAACAGCACATGTGCCATGCACTGCAATAATACAGAGCATAATGCAATTTACTGGGGCTATATTAAAACTTGCAGCATCAACCAGCTCTTTATTCACACCTTTCATGTGACAAAGGCCATGTTACCCAGGGTTTGGGGGTAGCTGAAGCCAAGCACATTCAGAGGGCACAAAATATGGGGCAGTTGCCCTAGGTGAAGCTACATTTTTTACCACTCTGAGCCATTTGAGGGTAAAAGTAAGGAGAAAAATACATCAGGTACTATGCAGCACTGAAAAACTCCACTGCAGCTATTGCAAAGAAATCTGCTTATAAAATGCCAGAGCAAAGCATACTTTTCTTATATCTACAGGTCAAAAATAAGACAGAATGCAGTATTTGGCTTGAACTAACAGAAAGTGAAGAAAGGACTACAGAAACTAATGAACTCAATGCCTATGAGAATACAACTATAATTCAGTTGTTGTTGTTGTTGTTCAGTCATTAAGTCGTGTCTGGTTCTTCGTGACCCCATGAACCATATCATGCCAGGCTTTCCTATCCTTCACTGCCTCCCTGGGTTTGCTCAGTTTCATGCTCATTGCTTCAGTGTTGCTATCTAACCATCTCATCCTCTGCTGTCCCCTTCTCCTTTTGCCTTCAATCTTTCCCAG